CATACATATATACATGCATACATGCATGCATGCATGCATGCATGCATACATACATACATACATACATACATACATACATAGGTACATATAAGCGCATGTGTATATGCACTGAGATATACTGTATACATATATATATATATATATGCACAAACTCAGGGCATTGACTATGCGAGTTTGTGAGGTTGCCAAGACTTCCAACTTTTCCAAAATTTCAACCCCAAAAAACATCCTTGATTCGCAACAGCTTGTTTTGCAAATGGCTTCATGCTTCATCCTCCTGGATGGATGGATGGATGGGACGGGACCGGACGGACGAAATGGGACATGATGGAGGGATTGGGATGGACTCGTGGATGGATGGGGCCGAGGGAGTAGTAGTTGTCGCAGTTGTAGTAGCAGCAGTAGCCGTAGTGGTAATTGCCGTCGTCGTCCTCCTCGTAGTCGTACTCGTAGTCGCGGTCCAAGTAGTCGTAGTAGGTCGTCGCAATAGCCGTACTTGTCGTAGTTGCCGTAGTAGCGGTGGTCGTAGTAACCGTTGTAGTCGTAGTAGGCGAAGTGGTCGTAAGGATAGCTTTCATCAAACATGGACATCTAACTGCAGTACAGCATGCATAAGCGGATACCATATAAACCAACATGGTGAACTTCGCAGTCACTGCTACTTACGACTGCTTGTTCTTACTATTGTGTCCAACCATTAAACATAGTTGCTACTTGGACGGTTCTAGTCGGGGAATACGGCTGATGTTACAGATGGTGATGACGGCCTTGATAGGCAACTAACGATGCGGTTATACATAAAACGTATGTAAGTCTGTAGGCGTATGTATATATATATATATAGAGAGAGAGAGAGATAGACATAAATGTGTGAGTATATACAGCGGTATTGTGACTAAATCTGCTTTTTGAAGAAGCATATATAGTCCGTCTCTGCAGGAGCGACGTGAAGATACTTTAAAGCTCCTGAAAGATCAAAGAGACTATGGGATTCAGAATGATGATTTCGGGGCCGAGGCCTAGAATGTGTGCCGGTGCACCTGTGCTGTGCGATCCCAGCCGTCGGAGCAGTGGATGACGACGTTGGCCTTCCAATACCAGGTTTGGGGTTTAAGGTTTAGGGCATCAAACCCTAGTCTTTACTAAACCTTCATCCCTAAACACGCAATAAACAGAACTCTCAAGAAGGCAGCAGTTTCACCCGCCGGGGTGAGCGGCACGGCACCACCATGCTTGCATGGATCTTACGCACGGCTTTTCAGACCTAGTCGCTGGCATTTCGAACTTCCCTCTTTTGTATGCTCTAGCATCAAGTGCTGAATCCTCCATCCAAAGTCCCAAACCCCAGCCGTAAATCCTAGACTCCCTCTTAATCCGGGCGTTTGTAGGGGCTTCTAGGCTCTATGCCTCTACAAGTAGCACTGGCAAAACCCACCAACACTACCATGACAAAAAGGGGGAACTACAGAGGGACGCACCGGTACAAGTTCGTGAGTCGCCTCTACTGTATGAATATATTCAGATATATGATCTACATCAAAAAATTGTGCTTAATCAACAATGATGATAATATCACTCGTACAAGCATGCATAGTATGAGTCAGACTTCAACCCAACGTCTTGCTGCCATTTCCCCGGGCCTGGTTGTTCAATATCTCTTCGACCACCTCCGGTTGGCTTCGGTTTCGTCTTCAGTAGGATGAGGCTATGTTCGGGCTTAGCACTTTGCAGGTTTAGGGGTCTCGGGGTTTGGGGCTTATGGGCCAGGGGCTAAAAGCGTAGGGCTTAAGTTTATGTATTGCAACTTAAGCTTGTGGTGCCAAAAACCCAATGGTTTAGGGTTTAGGGGGGTCTAATGTAGGGGCCTAACAATTAGACTAGGGTTTGGGGGACCATTCTACTATCAATATAAGGAGCCCCCAAAATGATATGGGTAAACATTTAGGCCCCTAATGGCCCCTAAACCGATCACCCTAAACCCAAAATATACTAGGTAATGAGAAAGGCTTATATATGGGTGGTTGTCAAAATTATGGTCCCTTTTTGGGTCCTTATTATAATACGGCACCTATTATTTAGGGTACCCCAAAAGGGACCCTAATTTTGACAACTACCCATATCTTAGGCTTCTGAGATTCCTTCTTGAATGGGGCCACGGACTCCCAGGTCTCAGGCTTCCGGAATCGGAGTTAGGGATTCGGGTTTAGGGTTTAGGGAGTCGGGTTTAGGGTTTTGGGGTTCAGGGATTTGGGTTTAGGGATTTGGGTTTAGGGTTTAGGGATTTGGGTTTCGGGTTTAGGGATTCGGGTTTAGAGTTCAGGGATTTGGGTGTAGGGTTTAGGGATTTGGGCTTCGGGTTTAGGGTCGGGTTTAGGGACTTGGGTTTCGGGTTTAGGGTTTAGGGTTTCGGGTGTTGGGTTTAGGGATTGATTCGGGTTCTGGGTTTCGGGTTTCGGGTTCAGGGTTTGGGACCAAGTCGGATCTTGTCCTCATGAAGTCAAACCGCCCTCGCCTGAACCCCGGCAGAGGAAGTAGCGATGGCAGCAGTCCCTGTAGTAGTAGCAGCAGCAACGGCAGCAGTGGTAGCACTAGCATGCAAAGCAGCAGCAGCAACAGCAGCAGCAGCAGCAGTGGTAGCCGTC